TTTTTTTTTCACCCAAATCGTCACTTAGCATGGTTTTGCACTCACCCCTTCAATTGATATTGCCAATCAATAACAATCGATAACTCACACAAAAAAGTTCTTTATTGATTGCTATCGATTGGCAAAAATCAATAACAATCGATAATTCCTGTCTTCAGGAATATTGATTGTTATCGATTTTAAAAAAATCGACAATAAACATCCAGACTACAGTTGAACCTGCGGTTGTGACCACCTCTTGTAAGCCATCATCTCTCCTCAGCAGCCAGTTTTCCAAAATACCAAAAACTTCTAAGTCAAATCACTGTATTTGGAACCTCTTGTAAGTGAACACCTCTCGTAAGTGACCGCCACCACTTTTAGAGCTAAAAGTTTGGAATGTTCTTTGCTTTTTACCTCCTGTAAGCGACCACTTGACAGAGGAAATTGGATAATAAAATGTATCAACATTAGCTCATTCCAGGTAGTAGAAGAGACAGAAATTTCTCAATGGGAAGTACCGGATTTGAATTGGATTTTTCACATGAACAAAACATTTAAAACATGACTAAGTCTCTGCAGTTACCATATGCTAATGAGGCAAAATTTTGACCCAATATGGTCTAAGCTCTTGTAAGCGACCACTTCCCGTAAGCAACCACCTAGACTTGACATTCTGGGTGGTTGCTTCCGGGAGGTTCGACTGTATTCAAAATTGGCTTTGTTATTGTGTAAAATAATACCTGGAACAACATGAGAAGCTCATCTTCGGCATGCTAGCTAGATCATATTTTCCTTTTGGCCTACTCCTGAGGTCTATTCTTACGTTTGTTTCCAAATGCAAATAATTGACATCACTAGAACACTGACTGTTGTTTATTTTGTTTCATCATAATCCATGCTGATGCTACAATGAGACTGGAGCTCGAGGGTTTTATGCTGCTACTCTAGCTTCTTCCAGTGTCATAAACTAGCAAAGAAAGACGCAAAGCCCAAATTGTTTCTGCCAGTTATTTCTGTTCTTGTTATTTTGCCAATGATTGTAAAAGATACACAGGCTATGTTAAATTGGCTCAATAAAACCATTATAGACAAATTTTGTCAAACACTTTATCAGTGTAACTTGTAAAAGGACAAATATAATTTCCGATAACAATCGATAATAATCAATACCAATTGATGAATCAATCGTTATCGATTACTATTGGCAATCGATAACAATCGATAATTCGCAACTTTTTTTCTTTATTGATTTTCATTGATTGCTATCAGCAATCAATATCAATCTTCAATTGATATTGATTGTTATCGATTAATATTGGTTATTATACATTGAACTCACTATCTCTTTTCTGATTGGTCGAAAGTGTACGAAGAATTTTTGAAATCAGCGCCTGTGATGTCATCTCTGCAGATTATACAATAATCATGTCAAGGACACTCAAGGTCACGGGTAATCATGTCAAGTTTGCACGCTTTGTGTTGCTTGCTGTCAGTGAAGAAGCAAAAACATGACTTCATTTTTTTTTCATTCAATGTATAATAAAAAACAAATTATTATTAGATTCGGTTTTTGTGATATCCAGAATAATCAGGGTCTCAGTAAGGGTTATCAGCCTCAGCCTTCGGCTTCAGCTGATAACCTCTACCTCGACCTTGATTATTCTGGATATCACAAAAACCTCATCCAATAATTGTTTATTATCGGTTTATTGATTGACTACGCCCTGGATTTAAAGGCATGGGTGAAAATTACGATTTAGAGGTTTGCTCACCTTTTTAGCTGTGGATCCTGCTAATTCCTCCTCCACTGTTTTTCTTGGCCAGAAGATCAAAATTAATGTGAGGAGAACAAGCAGAAAAAATATTCCTACCACTGCGTTTCTACAAAAATAAATAAGAAAATAAACACAGTTTTTATGAACTGATAAAATGAGCTACAAATTTTGACAACAATTATGGGGTTCAAAACCAGAAAACACGAATTTCATACATATCTCCTACGCAATCGAACACGCTGTCTTTATGGTGTCTTGAACAAACATAAGCTTACAAGTGGAACGAAATAATTATCGAACTGCAGTCTATCAAGGTACTTACTTCAAAGGTCCTGAGGTTCTTGACAAGGCTACGCATCCTATAATGCCTAAAGTCCAAAATATCAACACCAGTAACACACCAAGTCCCATTCCCGCCACCAAAGTCATATTCTATATTAATCAAAACTCCAAACGTTCTTCTGTTTACGACAGAGTCGCCAAGTTAAATCTTGCCGCCATATTGGATTTCGAAGATGCGTCATGTAGGGTTCTTAAAATGTCTTGAACGAACTTTGGCCTGCCCCAGTGTTATATTTGCGGGACGCTTTCTACGCAGGCTAAACCCAACCCACCTTGGATTTCGAAAACAAATTGACTTTTAAAGAAGCAAGGGGGTGGGGGTTTCAAGTCAAGGAGATCATAATACAGTCAAACCTCTCTACAACGGCCACCTTGGGGACAAATGAACACCTTAGGGGTAGAGAAGTGGCCGTTATGGGGAGGTACCGGTGTAATATGACTCCCGTTTTATCTGGAGAAAGGGGGGGGAGGGGGGGAAGTAAATCATTTTATTCAAGAAAAATGCTGACTGTAGTATAGAAATACACAATCAAAATACATCGATCAAACGGAAACAGAGACCAACAACGCGCGGAACAGATCAAGTTTCATGACCATTTACAATATAACACAGGGTTTGGCAAACACTATTTGTCAGTCGTTGATAAACTGCCCGTTTTGGAGAGGTTATTTTGGTGTTTTGGGGCGCACTTAAGTGGCCGTTGCCGTTGTGGAGAGGTGGCCGTTGTAGAAAGATTAAAATAAGAGTGCATGTATGGACCGTCCACCGGGACGTAAATGAGGGGCTGTTGTAGTGAGGTGGCCGTTGCAGGGAGGTGGCCGTTAGTGGAGGTTTAACTGTATCAGAAAAAAAAACTTTCTTCCCGTTTATGAAAGAAAACGTTTAATGTTCCTTACAGAGTGACATGCCTTGAACAACATTTAGCAATGTAAAGCAATTATTTTAAAGTGTAAAACTTTGATATAATGAATATGTTTCGTTTTTTATATATATGTAAACACAGAAAATGTTCAGCATTCTAACTGTTTAATATATTGAATATCGAATGGAATGAAAAAAAAAAATGAAACCGGGAGATTTCGTTATATCAAAGTTCCACTCCTATTGTAAGCAAATTTCACACAATGGTTGACCTGCGGTTTTGGTCGCACTTACAAGTGGCTTTTAGCAGCTGAAGTGAAATATCTACAATAGTAGCTGGCATTTAAGTTTTAACGATAAAAAACTAATAAACGCAAAAATCGAAAATATACGTCTTGATACAAAATAACAAAGAAGCTAGTTATTTACAACCGATTAAGAAGTATAAACTTCTCTTTAAATAGCAATCTAGTGCGGTTTTTAATTGAGTCTCGTAAAACTAGGACTAGGACCTTACCAATTACTTACCAATTAGACATAATTAGACGAATTTCAAACCGTAGTAAAACCAAAACCAAAGTAATTGTCTATTACTTTCGACACTCAATTGAAAACCGCTCTATCACAAATAATCATTTAATTGAACAATTATTCATTGCAAGGGCAAAGACCTTGAAAGCTTTATTGTTTCGTAAAATTCTCCTTGCGCTTTCTATAATTTTGTGGTACTTTAATTTCTGAAAATTTGGCTACATCAAGACAATATACCCTAACTGATGACTCTAAATTCTAATCATCCTTCTGCTGGACATTGTATTGAAGTTGTAAGGAGAATTCAATTGGGTATCAGCATTAGGGCTGGTTGGCAGCTGACAGGACAGTCACGTATTGGAAGAAAGATTTTCCCGCCCTTTTCCCCACAGGGGGTCCCAAAGGAATTGACGAGGACGATGATGATAATGATAATTGTGATAGTTTCTATTCCAGTGAATCTCCACGTCTAGCTTAGAAGTCTTATCATTTGTTAACCATCGCATACTTTGTAAATAAGCAGTGACGGGTACGTTGGCTTAAAATATTTTTTACTAGCCCAAGCCTAAGGTTTCTTTGTTCTGGTAATATTTTTATGCTTTTCTGGAGCCCCACTTCAAGCATCACTTCTGGAATCCGAAGAACAAAGATGAGGGATGTTAGGTCTAAAAAACTAACCTTCTTAAATAGAAAAATAGATAATTACCTCCTATAAGCCACCGGATTCGAATAAAGTTTGATTTTTTTTTTCTCCAGTTCATTCCCAAGGTCTGATCTCTTTTGCTTTCTCCAAAATATCAGTTAACTTTGATTCTCACTTCACAACTAACTTCTACTATTTCTGGGAGAAAGCAAAAGAGAAATCGAAAGCGAGCAGAACATTTTATTGTTAAAAAGAGGCAACTTTATGAATTTAACGGTAACAACAAGGAAAAAAGCTTGACCATCTTGAGAACTCTGACGTCAGCCTTTCATCTAACATCACGTTGCTTAGCAACCCCTTTTACAACTAACTGCGGGCTCAGGTCCAACTCAGACACAAGATTGTCTAATGATAAGGTAATTTTTCGTCCGGACTTATCAGGCAATAAATTCCATATTTTCACTTGCCAGCTGATGCAGCGCAATAGCTTTGTTAACGATTCTCTCCAACATTCCCAAGTGTTCTCGACACGTTTTCTTTCTCCATTTAGTTCTTGTAACGAAACCTTTCACATCTGCCTGCACCATGTACGTCATAGCCTCGACCTCTGATACTTGTCAATACGAGATTAGCTTCAACCTCTCATTACTATTTCCCATACATTTCCTTATGTCTCCTTAGAAGAATCTAATTGATCAGCTCGATTCTTATAACATGCTTACTCAATTTTGGCAAAGTGTTTAACCGTGAGGAGGATTTTCAAACTGGTCATCGTCGGGCCAGGATGGAGTGGAAGGTTTAACCGTGAAGGTCAGAACTGAGAGGATCGGTGGGTGTGAAGATCAGGTCGGCCTTCTTGTTTATG